AACAAAGGGGAGAGGGAAGACCTGAAGATTCACTAGTCCACCTCCCTCATGAGAGTTCCTTACAAAATCCGAAGTCCTATTACACGAAGTGGGTCAGTTGAAGTAACGCAACATATGACCCAGTCCGTGCAAGGCGTCCGGAAACAATAAAGGACAGTTAAACATGACCCAACCACTCCTTGCCATGTATTTTCTGACACCATCTAACTTCGTATTTTACCCTGGAGTTTGTTTGTACGAGACCCACATATATCCCAATAATAAAATAGAACAAGTGATTAAGGCTTTAATGGTCGGGAGAGCTAATAGTTGGTTCAAACGATACATACACACATACTGGTCGACGTTGAATAAAGTTTTTTTTGAATGGTTCAACTATCTTAACCCCCAACAACAGAAACAAATCTCAAAATTAAATAACCATTCTATAGTAAAATAACATACTAAATTTAGAATTTTTATTCCATCTAAAAAAATGTCGTTCTACTTTTAAAAATTTCCGTTTTGCTTGAAAATATTAATTCCAAGAATGTGGTATCCCTTCTTGGATGAACTGCATGCAAGAGATGAAATGAAAGTGTGAATGGGTTAATGAAAAATTTTAATTAAACTTTCATTCTATATAAGAATTTTCAGTCATAAATAGGTCAATCCAATCTAAATTAGAAGATATTTGTTGTAGTAAAATGAAAGTTTAATTAAGACATTTCATAAACTTGTCTAGACTTTCATTCCATCTTCAACAAATAGATGTAGTTGGAAAGAAAAGTTCATTTTTAGACTGAAACTTATCAAACAGAATTGGAAATTTTAGAATTCGACGAACATTGAAACTTGAATGATAATTTTTAAATATGAAGGATTTTTTTTAAATGGAATGTTTTTTCAACTTTCATTTTTATTTTTTGGGAGTTTTTCTGTTGAAGTTGCTTACTGGATGTCCAGGGGTCGTGTATAGCAGCCTGATGAGTCGCTAACAGATTATTGTGATCGATTATGAATGTACTAGACAAGTCAGGACGATGACAACAAGCAGCCAGACACTTATTCATAGATGGGCTTAAGATTAGGTTACTCAAAGCAAAGCTCCGAAAGAAAGTTCCTCGTGTTCAAACCACTTTGATCAATATTATGAAAGCTATTAAGATCGAACAAAAGAGTATAGCGAGGTACTTAGATATCGAGGATGATCACACATCCGAAGGGATGGATGAAGTTGTAGTGTGTAAGGAAACTCTGGTGGAGAAGTTCAAAAGGATGGAGGGACATGCACATGCCATCAGCTTTCCAACTACACAAATGATCAAACAACCAGTTATGGGACGCCTTGGGCGAAAATCGAATGCTTTGGTTATTAACGGGCATCCATCTAACCCTGAACAGGTTAAGATGATACACCTTCTGGCCACCGAGCAGGCCAAGCAGCATGATGCACTCTTGTAAGCCCAAAATGCGCATACAAGACGATTAGAATCAGTCTTGCGCGAAGTCTTTGCGCAAGTTGTTCTACGATAGTGTCCCTCTCCACTTCTCCGATTCCAGTTGGTCTTCCTCCTCTTCTTCCTGCTGTTCCTACTACGCCAACGACAACTGTTACGGTATCATGTGGCTCAAGCCTATCACCGCCTGATACTTTTTTTAAGAATCCGCTATTAACTAGTGGCGAAAACGAGGCGGAACTTAAGGCTGTTTTCACGAGTTGGCAGATTCCTTCACCCGGCTTACAACGGCCACTGCAGTCTCTGCTCATAGGCCATGCTACAACTGTAAAAAAACAGGCCATTCTGCTCACGGTTACCCATAGTATCCTTCACAAGTGCGCGCGCGCGCGCGCGAGGAAGAGAGAGAGAGAGAGAGAGAGAGAGAGAGAGAGAGAGAGAGAGAGAGAGAGAGAGAGAGGCGGGGGGGCAGACTGAGATAAGCAGATACGGCAACCATTTGCATGGGCCCAATTTACACGCCAGCAGAAGTCAAGTGCAATGACAATTTCCATGGGTCTTTGGGCACAATCAAAAGCTGGCCGCTAGCCTCCATGCAGAACCAAATGCCATGCTTTATTGGGGTATAATGACTGTTTTCCCTGAAATCAAATGGCCTGACTGGGGTTGGCCCTGAGAATGTCTGAAGTTCTCTTAACTTTTTTTTTTTTTTTTTTTTTTTGAATAAAACAGGTCCTTATGGTCCTGGCTCCATATCCATCCTGGGGAGCATCAGTCCGATTCCTATTCCCCTGGCAAGTCAGAATACAGGATTACATCATTGTACACACCGATGCCCCCTTCCGTCTGGCTGAAGGGTCCCTGAACAACATTGATTACTCCATTTTACTAGAGGATTGACAGTCAGCTTGCCTTTCCCTGCAGTCCCTCTCAGTTTCCTCCGCGGAGGCCTGTCAGCTCACCATTAGTGCAAGGAAAACAGAGATCAGCAAATGACGTAGCCCTGAACCGACTTATGTGGCTCTGAAGTCTTGTTGTTCAGACCGGTGAAAGCTTCTTGATCCCTGGGGGTTGGTAAAATTGTGTTAGTCTTTCCATCTGATACGAAGTCCATGGATATCAGCTATCTTTCCTTGAACCACCCAAAACCTCTTGAAGTTGGTTGTCATCTCTTGATGTTTCTCTGGTTTCTGCTGAATTTGGAGGTGGACCTTCTTCCATTCACAAAGGATTTCTGTTTCCATTAGTAGGGCCTCGCCACATGGGGCTTTTTCCGATGACTGTCACACTTCTTTAGACAATCCACGTTTTGAGAGTTACCCTCGCTTCGCCACATAGCAGTGTAGAAAGGACCAATGTTTTGGCTGGGGTGAGTGTTGTTCATGTAAAACAATCTTGTTTTCTAGTCGCAGGTAGCTCATGCGGTGCCAGCCCGGCGTTTTCTTTCACGAGTGCGTGAGAGGGCTACTGAAGGTGGTTTGGCTGCTGCAGGCGAGCGGGGGAGGGTTGTTTCGGCAATGGTGTTGAGCGAGGCATTCTGACACATTGGTAATGGAGATGGACTCTCTACCTCTCGACAGTCTGTGTGGCCATCACAAAGTGTCGAGAAATCTCTATTCGACAGTGGTGTGGCGAGGCCCGTAGTCTCGTCGTAGCCCTGTTCACTTGGATTGCTGGACTTGGCTAACGTCCTGTTGCAGCTCTACTTCAAGATAGTACCATATTGGGCAGGGATGCTAGAGGTGGACCCCACTGCTTTGCAGCATAGCTTTGGAAGGCGGCGTGTGAGACCCCACTGCGTTGCGGCAAAGCTTTGGAAAAAGCTCACAAATGACGTGGCAAGTGTTTTCACTTAGTTTCGTTTTGTGCGTTCCTCGCGCCATCCTGAGGGGTTAGAGGGGGGGGGAAACAGCTCCCTCCTTTCGGCCATCCAATGTGGAAAGGAGAGCCAGGGATTCGGTGATAACCGAGACAATTGGATGTGAAGTTTCCGCATAGGGAAATTTTTCCTTATTGGGTAACCGGCACCAATGGACCTGCCGAAGCTTTGTGCTGCAGCGTGGTCCCCTTTTCTGTTTCCCATAGCCGGGGCCTACTATTTGGCTTTGGTGGAAGCTTTCCACCTGGAAAGCATCCGCCAGGCAGTGGGTTCCACCTCTTAGTCCAGAGGAGTAGTTGGATTGAGTGTTTGGAAGGGGAGGAGGAGTACTGAGGCTCTCGTCCACTGGTCGGTAGCGTACAGTGAGCAGGATCTTTTGTTTCCCTTTTTTTTTTCCTTTTTTGGTTTTGGGAAGGGGTAGCCCCTAGCATGTGGCTGGATGGTACACAGATACCCAGCCGGTGTGGCTGAATGGTACACCCATGAATTGGCACGACTGTTGATAACAGCCCTGATAAACAGGTCATCAGCTCAAATCTTCCAGCAGGCTCTTGAAGCACGGACATACACCTGGCCTGGCAAGTGCCAATTGTCTAAGCAAGGACATAGTACAAGTCTCACCTGGCCTGGCAAAGTGCGAGTTGACTAAGCACGGACATGGCACAAATCGTCCTTTCTAAGCACGCACATAGTACTAGAGCCTTCCCTCGAACAGAGCATGCGCCTTTAGACGAATACCACGTGCATTCGAATACAACGTGTTTTTTTTTTGTTTTTTTTTTTGCGCATTCTTTTCGGAGAGCTGGAATATTTGAAGGCAACGCGTATGCGTTCTATTCAAATCATCGTTTTCTTGGAGAAAACTCGAATACAACGCGCATGCGTTATGTTCTGGGGAAGAGGGTAGTCTCACCGGGCCAGGCAAGTGCGTGAGGGCTACGAAGTACTGGCCAAGCCGCATGTGGCCAGTTCCTCCCGAACACAGCGCAGCCCCGTTACGAATGTATACGAGCTATGTCCTGGTCAGATACAAGCCATAGCCAGGGTGTGTTGTGCTCCGCAGGAAGAGGGTCGGACTTTTTTCTTTTCTTTAATAACTTGGACCATTTCTCGATTTATGCGTGTCATCCTTGCGCAGGGGCCATTCTAATCTACCCTTCTCTGTATCGCTCCAATTTGAGCGGATGTCCCGAAGGACGAGGGTCAGACTTTGGGCCTCGCCACACCACTGTCGAAACGGAAAAAGAACGAATGCATCTTCAGCAGAAAGCGGTAAGATGCACCCGTTGCTCTTCATAGTAAGGGATGCATCTTGCCATTCTCTGCGGGCAGATGCACTCGTGCATTTTTCGTTTCGACAGTAGTGTGGCGAGGCCCTTTTCCCCGCCCAGAAAGGGGTAACTTGCCAGATCCCCCCGAACACATGCACTTTGCGATCAAGCGGGCATGACTGCCTGGGGAAGAGGGAGGAGGGGAGAAGGGGTGTCATTTCAGGGGGGCGGAGGGAGAGAAGGGGTGTCATTTCGTCAGTTTAAAACTGCGGCCACGTGGATGAGTTCTTCACCTCGGACTTCCTATCTATGCTATTTGGATTAGAAGCGACGTGGACACCAGGTTGCCCACATAGCCGTCCACGTGGGCACTGCCGTTGGCGCCTTAGCCATCCACGTGGAGACTGCAGGTGCCGCCATAGCCATCCACGTGGACACTGCTGGGGCCGCCATAGCCATACTGGGAGTCTTTTCTCCGTCAGGAGTCAATGGCACGATGAGGTGAATTCGTCCTTGCTTTTGCCTTTCGTGGCTTTTCCTGCACGGTGTCAGCTGTTTTTTTTGTTTTTTTTTTCGCTTTACTTTCTTAACCAACTTTTTTTTTTTTTTTTTTAAACAATTATTTATTAATCTATTTTTTCTTTTTATTATTTCAAAAAATGCGTTGTATTCCTCTCTCAAATCTTTAATCATCTTTCAAATTCTTTCAATTCCCTTCACTACCTCCCTACCACTACTCCTAAGGCTTATTATGCAGGGGACCCCTGCGAACGCTAGACACTTAAAAAAGCATGACTGTGCCAAACAGACTGTTTCGTCGGACGTTCACCGACTCGTCAGATTCCGTGTGTGTGTGTGTGTGTGTGTGTGTGTGTGTGTGTGTGTGTGTGTGTGTGTGTGNGAGAGAGAGAGAGAGAGAGAGAGAGAGAGAGAGAGAGAGAGAGAGAGAGAGAGAGAGAGAGAGAGTGCTTGTGTGTGCGTGTGAGAGGGATAGTCTGTGTGTGTGTGTGTGTGTGTGTGTTGTTATACTCGCTATACACTCAAAAAAAGCATGACTGTACCGAACAGACTGTTTCGTCGGACTTTCACCGACTCATCAGGAGGTTGAACCTGGACGGACAGTCTGCCCAGGATGCATTTGATTGATGGATAAGGACTGACCACATCGCCCAGAGTGTGTGTGTGTGTGTGTGTGTGTGTGTGTGTGTGTCAAGAACTAAGCTATATTCTTCTCTCAAATGCACCTTTTTCACTACCGGTCGCTAGCTACCTATCGCTACTCTCCTAAGGGATCTCAAACAGGGGACCGCTGCAAGCATAGTTACTCTCACGATGAAGGGAATGCATCTGATTTCGCGCCAGAGAAAAGTGTTTAAAAGAGAAAAAAAAAGAAGAAGAATAAAAAGCTGTTATTCGTCTGTAGTACTCTGTACCATTCAGCCACATGGGCTGGGTTGTATTTGTTTGGTTGGCGTCACACCCGTGCGACGAGGGATCATTGAAAAAAAAGAAAAAGAAAAAGGGACAATCCTGCTATAATTTTGAGAGAACCTTTTTCTTTTTTTTTGGTTTACTCAAATCGACATTTCATTACAAACATTTTGAGAGTACGTTTCAGTGATACAGAAGCGGGTTAATTTATTCTGGATTTACTGTATTTTGGTTTGGACCCTTTTTTTTTTTCCAGGATTATCTCAAATATTTTGAGATTTTTTTTTTGACACGTCATCATGGCGGCAGTCGTGGACCAGAGCATTATTAGAATCATACCTACTTCGGCTCGTAGGGTGAGTTTTCCACGGCGCGCTGTGGGATGTGAGATCGAGAAACGTAAATCCGGTCGGATTCAATGCATCTTGCAGCATACGAGTTCGACATCGTCAATTCCAAAAAAATCGGCGCCTTCAAAAAATTCTTCAATTTTAAAAAATCTCAGAAATTCGGCAATTTCCAGAACGTCGGCATGTTCGACGAGTCCTCGTACGACTGTTTCGAAAATTTGGCGGGAAAGCAAACGACACGGAGACAAAGATGATCTCTTTTTTGGCGGGAGAGGACGCGGGCGATGCCAGCAGCAGCAGCAGGCAGCGCGGGAGCTTGAAGGTTCTTTGGCGCGCTGCAGAAAGTCTGATCGGAGTAATGGCGCGGGTAATGGAAAGCGCGCCAAGCGTTGGATATCCACCAGGCTTGGCGCGCTGCAGATGGCGGGGCAGGGCCGGAGGGAGAGAGGAGAGAAAGCGCGGGTGCAATCTCATAAGCCGGATCGGGGGGGAGAGGAGGAGGAGGAGGAGGAGGAGGAGGAGCTGTCGCCTGTCATCATCGATCAATGGCTTGGAAGGGGGCTGCGGCGGTCTAAGTGGAGGGGGAAAGGGAGGCGGCGGGAAACACAGGGAGGAACGATGGACACGTGGAGCAATATCGATCGACCGCGTTGGGTGGGAGTAGGCGGCGGAGAGAGGGGCCGATGTGCGACGCGCATGTACGGCACAACAGCAAGCCAGATGTACCACATCATCTCCTTCCTTATCAGCGATCGCCAAACAAGGATGAATAGAACGACGATGTGCGCCGACCAGACGGAGGACCGGTCGGTGGGTAGTTTCGGGGCGTCAAGGAGAGAGAAGCGGATGCCACGTGTCACATTTCGCGGTGCCCCTTGTCTGAAAGGTGGAGCGAGGATGGCGCCAAATTTTCCTCAGTCCTTGGTAGGCACTTTTGGCCGTGATTGGCACATGGATGCCGGTCTGAACAGGACGAGCTCCGATCGCCAATCATCAGGCAGAACCACGTGTCTGCCCCATCACCAGCCACGTCAGCAGACTACTTGTTGTCAATCATGGGCGCATAATGAAGCCGCTCTTCTCCCGCCCACCTTCGAGACCCCTTTCAAACCCCTCTCGGTCTCAAAGCCATCACTATGTCGTCATCAGCACGCCAGCGATGGGGTAATCTCACGGCCGGCGTCCTTCTTGATGCCGCCCTCGCCCTTCTTCCCGCCTCGATGGAGGAAGTGGAGGAGAGGGAGAGGGAGAGGGAAGGGGAGAGGGAGGGGGTGGGGTTGGAGGGAAAGGGATGTCCCAGTGGCAGGTGCAGCAGTAGGCGCTGACGATGATAGCGGCGGATGCAGCGGCTGCGGTGGAGATAGCGCTCCTGCTGTTTCTAGGGTTTCGTTGATAGGGGTGATGGGGAATGTCCCACGTGGCGGTAGGAGATTGACCGGCGCGATCCCGATCAGAAGATCCATCACCGGAAGTCGGCGCGGTTCCTCCGTCGTCGCGTCTGCCGCTGCCGGCGGCGCCGCCGTCACTGCAACTACCATATCCTCCTCCTCCTCCTCCTCCTCACCTTCAGCGGCGGCGGCCGCGCTAATTACTGCCTTGACAGCTGGCAATCCTGACGTGCTACAGGTCATCCTCAGCTTTCTGAAGAGGCCGTTGGTGGGCCTGGCCTTGGTGCTTGTCGCCAGCGCGGTGTCCCGGTACGAGAGGCTGGGCCTGGAGCGGATTATCCTCGTGGCCGCCGCTCGGTGCTTCGTTCAGGTGATTGTACTAGGCTTCGTTTTGAAATTCGTTTTCGAAAAGGCGGGAGTTTTCTGGATGGCCTCGCTAATTACTCTCATGGTCTTGATTGCCGGTCAAACTGGCGGCAAACGAGCAGGCCGCGTCCCTCACAGTCGACTAATTATCACGTTAGCTGTCATCTCCGCCGTCGCTATCACCCTTTCCATCTGCTCCTTCTGTGGTCTTTACCCCCGCCAGCCGCGATACATAATCCCTATGGCAGGATACGCGATCGGCAATTCCATGTCAGTAACTGGTAGCTGTCTGACATTTCTGGCTAATTACCTGGAGGCCGAGAGAGGGCTTGTGGAGGCCTCTCTCTGTCTGGGCGCTACTCCCAAACAAGCCTCGGCATCGATGGTGCGGAAAGCTTTGCGGGGGGGTCTAAACCCCTTGTTCGATTTCGTTAAAACCACTGGGCTAATTAGTCTGCCAGGTGCCATCACGGGAATGATACTAGGGGGGACGCCCCCATTACAGGCAGTACAGATGCAATTGGTCGTCTGCTTTCTACTTTTGGGAAGTGCCGTTGTGTCGTGCATGGTCGCGACTTTCCTAAGTTGGCGTCAATTTTTTACTCCCGCGGGTCAGTTCATCCTCTCCAATGGCGTCAGTTAAAAAAGAATAGAATAAAAGAATACCAAAAAAAAAAAAGAAAAAAAGAGAATGTAGTAATGTACACACACAGCTCCTCCTCATTCCCTCCCCCTCCCCCCCCCCCCCCCCCCCCCCCCCCCCCCCCCCCCCCCCCCCCCCCCCCCCTCTCTCTCTCTCCCTTAGGAGACGGTCCCTCAATTCCATATCCGCGTGGTCGCTGCTTTCCTAAGTTGGCGCCAATTACTGTAATTTCTCACTCCCCGCAGCTGAGTTCGTCGTCTGCAATGGCGGGAGTTAGAAGAATGTACACAAATTCCGACGTTCCTCCTCTTTCCCGCCTTGTTTCTTCCTCGTTTCATTCCTCCCCATCCCGCCTTTTTCCCCGCCTCTTGCTTTTGAGACAGTCCCTTCCCTCTCTGTCCGCGTGGTCGCTGCTTTCCTAAGTTGGCGCCAATTACTGTAATTTCTCAATTTCCCCGCAGCTCAGTTCGTCGTCTGCAATGGCGGGAGTTAGTACACACATTTGCTCGTTCCTCCTCTTTCCCGCCTTTTTTCTTCCTCATTTCATTCCTCCCCATCCCGCCTTTTCCCCCTCGCCTCTTGCTTTTGAGACGGTCCCTCCCCTCACTGTCCGCGTGGTCGCTGCTTTCCTAAGTTGGCGCCAATTACTGACGCCTCTCCTCTCTTCCTTTTTTTTCTTCTTAATTTCTCACTCGCCACAGCTCAGTTCGTCATCTGCAATGGCGGGAGTTAGAAGAATGTACACACCTTCTCGTTCCTCCTCTTTCCCGCCTTTTTCCTTCCTTGTCCTCCCTCTCCGCTCTCTCCGCTCTCTGCTCTCCATGCGCTGACGCCACTACGGCCTTGTCACCGCCGAGCCTCCGCTTTCTCCTCTATACCCACCGTCTTCCCCGCGAACACAATGGACCCTCATCATTACTGTATTTGGTCCGAAAGATAGCGTGTATACATTCATGATGAGGGTGCGTTATGTTCGCGGGAGGACGGTAGACTCCTCTCTCCCCACTTTCTCCTCCCTTCACCGGATTACCGTTGTCCCCGACCACAACGGACCCTCATCGTAGCTGTATTTGGTCGGAAAGATAGCTTGTATACATTCCTAGACAGGGGCTCGGTTATTACACTAACACGACAGGGCGTCACTCGACAAGTTCGACAATTTAAAAACCATGACATTTTATTTTATTTTATTTTATTAATTTTAAAAGAGAATAATTTGGACCAGTTCTCGATGTGATTGTCATTATGTGACTGTCATTTTTGCACAGGGGGGGCGATGCTAATCTCCTCTGTGCAGTCCCAAGAGACTAAGATACGCAAATTCAAAATTTGAAATGTCCCAAAATGACCATTTGAAAAAAAAGTTTGTAATATCCATTTTCAAAATTTCTCAAATTTCAAATTTCAGTGTCTTAAATTTTCGAGTTCTAAATTTCAAAATAGGTTACAAAATTTCGGGATTTCAAATTTTCAAAAAGTTCAAAATTTCCAATTCTTCACAGTCAAAAAAAAAAAGAAAAAAAGTATTCATGTCCGGTTCTATCTCATGTCCAATTGCAAGATGACGTTGAAGACCATTCGTATCTGCTTCTTTTGCCACTCTCTTATTCTTTTCTTCATTTGTGGGTTTCTTTTTTTTTTCTTCTTTTTCACCCCTGTTAGTTGACCTGACCCCTCGCCCTTGCCCCCCTTGCCCCCCTTACCCCCCTTCCTCTCCACCTTCCCAGCCAAACGAAAAGTCCATCACATCAGTATGCAACATTTTTTGGCCAAAAGGAGAAGACCGCCAAGATGCGCTCTGAGTATGCACATGCTCTTTGTTTCAAATTTATGATCTCCTCGTCGTTTTGGGTTGTATATCTTCTTCTTCCCCTCTTGCCCCTTTTCTTTTTCCTTTTCCCTTTTTCTCTTGTTCTCTGTCTGCTTCTCTCTGTCCCTGTCTCTGTCTCTGTCTCTGCCTCTGTCTCTGTCTCTGTCTCTGTCTCTGTCTCTGTCTCTGTCTCTGTCTCTGTCAATGTCTCCGTCGCTGTCTGTCTGTCTCTGTCTCTGTCTCTGTCTCTGTCTCTGTCTCTGTCTCTGTCTCTGTCTCTGTCTGTGGCTCTGTCTGTGGCTCTGTCTGTGTCTCTGTCTGTCTCTGTCTCTGTCTCTGTCTCTGTCTCTGTCTCTGTCTCTGTCTCTGTCTCTGTCTGTCTGTCTGTCTGTCTGTCTGTCTGTCTGTCTGTCTGTCTCATTCATCATGTGAGGGTCCAGATTCACATGGTAGTGCACTGAAAACCTTTTCTAAATTCTAATTTCTTCAAATCTAACAGGTTCCTGCTAGCCAGCCCATGTGGCTGAATTGAACACACGTAATCCTTTTTTTTTGTTGTTGTTGAACACACATAAACCTGATGAATAAAATAACTCCTTTCGAAAGTGTTTAATATAAATCGCAACGATCGTCAGCGGCCTACCGGTAGCTCAGTTGATAAGGCACACAGGTAGCATTCAGGAGGTCATGGGTTCAATCCCCGTTGGCCTCGTGTACCTTCCTGGGAAGACTTGGTGTCTGCCATGAAGAGGTAGGTCGTTGGCCCTCCCAGTCTGCATTAAGCAGAAACTGCTGATGTTCGTAGGTGGAGGCGACCAGAGGGGAAGCGCAGAGATTGGCCCATATGGCATGGTGTCTGATGCTACCAGCCGACCCATGCCTGGTATCGCCCGCCCGCTGTAGCAGGTATCCCACCTGCTGGTGGGTGCAGTCCCCTCTTGTTCCCTCGGTGGAGGCATTGATCATGGATGTCGCTGCTACGGGTTCCCCATAATAATACTATAACAATGGTAATAAAATTATAAAAAAGGCCTGAAAGGCTGCCGTGTCCAGATTTGACAGGTAATTGAATTACGTGGGCTTAAAAAGGATTACTAAATTGCCTTTTTTCAATTAATTAAACGGCAGCAATCATTGTCGCAAAGCCCCTTTCAAGTTTCATCATGTGATTTGCATGCGCAGAAGCAAAACTACCGTCTTCCTTCAAATACAATGCACCCTCATCGTGACAGTATTGGATTGGACAAATAGTTTGCACACATGCATTGTTGGGGTGCATTCTCTTCGAGGGAAGACGGTAGTGGCAGCCAGATGATGTCCAACATCATCCATGATGGGCAGCATTATACTCTTCCGACGATAGTGCACAAGTCACTCCCACAGAATATACCTCCGAACACATTAGACATCCTGAACTTCTGAGCTTGGAACAGTAAGGAAGGGAATGTGTGTGTGTGTGTGTGTGTGTGTGTGTGTGTGTGTGTGTG